TCGCTGCAAGCAAAATGTAACCTTTACTTTCAGAGGCATACTAAGCCATAACACTATGCGCAACAGCTAAAATTAAAATACAGCGTATAGAAAAAAAAGCAATGTGTAAATGTCAGTATTATTTTAAGACTTGGTCTCCTTTAAGACAAGGGTAATTTGCAAAAATAACAGCAAGGAAATCTGGAGCACAACTGGAGATATGACCCATAACCTCCAGATTCTTTGCCTAACTGGAGAGATGAAACCTTACTGGGTTGCAGTTTCTCTATGTATGGTCCATTTTTCTGAACTGAACCATCTGAACTTTCAAATCAGCCCTACATAATCTATTTACATCAAAAAAGTGTCAGAAAAGTATTAAAGTCACAGTTTTAAAAAAGGAACTGAAGTATGTGAAAAAGTCTTGATCAAAGATCGGGAGGGGGGGACCGTATTTATAGAGGGTAGCATAGACACCTTTTAGAATTTGGATGGAGCGCAGTACAGGTACATAATGTACACTCCCTTCTTCCCAATGCATGCTCTGTGCCCATCCGACTGACAAGTGCATCACTGAGGTGTTTTATACTAGGGGTGGGCAAAGCCTGATGTGGAATCCTCCCACGTGCTGTCAATCAAAAATAAAGCGGACCTAATGTGAAGGTAGTCTCTCAGTCTCCCATCAAGCTCAACCCACTCAGTGCCAAGCTATTTCCCAAATATGGGCAGTATCAATATCCCTGTCCCCTTTGTTTACACTGAGCTTTCACCCAGGAAATCTTCCTGCTGACAGCTGAATGGGGCCGGAGATCCAGCATTATACAGGAAGCAGTCAAATACATGACAGCTTCTCAGAACAGCTATGTTCCACTCTGAGTACTGGTGTACCTCCATAGACCAAGTCAGAGCTGGTCTCAATTACAGCTAGTTCTCTAATCTGCAAACTGACAGTAATTCTTTAAATGATTGTAAAGCTTCATTTATTTAAAATAACAAACATATGTTACTTAGCTGCTCTGTGCAATGGTTTTTGACAGAGCGACCCTTCTCTTCTCAAGTCCCCAGCCAGCACTCTCCTATCCGCCTCTTCATTGTGGGCCCCCATAAGAAGTGGCTTCCTATGGGTGCCCACTTGAGGGCTCACTCCCAAGCCGTGCTGACTGCAACCATAGTCATAAACAGCGCAGCATGGACCCACCCCTGCTCTGGCCCACAGAATTTACAGTAATTGACAGCAGCAGGAGCCAATGGCTCCAACTGCTGTATCTGTGAGCAGAAAGAGAGGAGACAGCTGCTACAGACGGGCACAATGCTGCATGGAGATCTGGCTCAAGTTAGTATACAGACAGTGAGGGGGCAATACAGATACAGGGATATGCATTAAGGTAAAAAATGCCCAGCCTTTACAACCACTTTAAGACAATGTCATAGCGACAGGTTCTTAAAGTGGTGGTAGAAAGAACTACCTGAAAATGTAGCTTATATCAGCAGTGTTACAGACACTGGACTGAAATAGGTGCAGGCAGTTCTAAGGAACTACCACCAGAACATTTTTGTTATAGCTTTATTGAATTCCAATGCCAATGTGAATTTCACAACCACACTTCAAAGTAAAGGGACTTATCTCTTTAATATTTTAGCAGTGCTCAAATCTATACAAGTATTAATTTATCATTTTGTGTGTAGCAGCCTTTTGTTTATTTTAGGCTTGTTTTTTTCACTTATTTTAACCAAATTGGATACATATATTTTGTCCTAGTTCAGTCAAGCAAAGATTAAATGTTTTAATGCAAGACAGGATATTTAGACAATCTGTGATCAGCCCTCCTTGAACTGCCTTCTAATATACCTAAATTCAATCAGTGCTCTGCTTACGGTGGTATCCTGCACAGCCAAGAAAAAATGATAGCACTACATAAAGACCAAAGATTAGGGGACATGAAGGAACCCTTTCTCAAGGTAGTGAGAAAGTGCTCACAATTTTCTTGGAAAGGTGATCTATATTAAGCTGGAAATATAAAATAGCAAAGAGCTGTTTTTTACATGTTGCCTAAAGTGTAAAACCTATTAATTTTTGATTGTTGAAGTGATGATACCAGATATTTTGTTTTACTTAAATGTTTTTTGTTGCAAACAAATGAATAACAGAAACTAGAAAACAAAGCTGTTTACAATTCAAAATATCAGCAGATAGGATGTTTAAAGAATGGCATTTTAGCCAGAGTTATTTAACCGGTTCTCACCCGGCCAATAGCACAAAGGCGGCCAGGCGAGCAGCTCGTCCCTCCGGGTTCACGCCATATGGCGTCCTCTCAGTCATGCGCAGTGCGCTCGCCCGCAGGCCCGCTCTGCGGAAAGAACTGTGTACCGGTCCCGTTTCCAGTACCATGTGACCTGCTGTGACTAATCACAGCAGGTCACATGACAGTTGTATACAATGGATGGCTTCCTTTCATGCCATGCATTGTATACTAGTGTGTCTAGCTGTGAATGGTCACAGCGATCACATGCACAAACTGGGCCAATCACAGCCCAGCTGTGTCATGTGATTAGCCGTGGCTAAATCACAGCTAAGCACAAAAAAAACCCTGAATGAATCGATGTCATTCAGGTAAATGCTTGCTTATAGCAAAGTAATTCTTTGCTATAAGCAAATTGTGTAAAAAAAAAAAAATACTGATCACTTCCCCAAAGTAGTACAATGTTACTATGGTAACATTGTACTACTTTGGTCATAGTGAAATATGAAAAAAAATCTTAAAAAAAAGAGAAAAAATAAAAACTAATAAAAAAATTTAAAAAAAGTATAATTTTCTTTTTTTGTATTGTCACCAGTCAGTGTCCCTGGTCACCGCCATGCCAGTTATATGATGATGCTGTACTGCACTGGTGACAGTATGTAAAAAAAAAATAGTGAAAATAATTTTTTACATTTTTTCATTTTCCGAAAAATTATGACAAAAAAATTACAACTTCAAAAAACTCGCCATTCCTCTTATGAAATACGTTGGACTGTCTACTTTGCAAAAAGGGGTCATTTGGGGGATATCTGTACTGTTCTGACATTCTCGAACCTCAAGAAATTAGATTGGCTGTCATTACTTCAGGATTGAGTAATATTCAGATATATACCATAGTTTGTGAACTCTATAACTTTCCTACAAACTAAATAATACATCCTAATTTGGGTTATTTTCACCAAAGACATTTAGTAGAACACATCTTGGCCTAAATTTATGAAGAACAATTATTTATTTGCAAACTTTTATAACAGAAACAAAGAAAAATGTGGGGCTGTTTTTCAAAATTTTTGGTCTTTTTTTGTCAATTTAGCAAAAAATATAACCCCCGTGTTGCTTAAATACCACCAAAAGAAAGCTCTAGTTGTGTGAAGAAAATGATAAAATTTTAGTTTGGGTACAGTGTTGTATGACGGCGCAATTGTCAAAGTGTGAGAGTGCTGACACCTGAAAAATGGCCTGGGCAGGAAGGGGGTAAAAGTGCCCTGTATGGAAGTGGTTAATGTGTTACTAAACCCACAACAGTAAAATCAGTCTTTATATGCAGTAAAGCATGCTTGTTATACTCACTGTGGATCCTCCCCTTCTTCTACTGTCCCCATTCCATCTGCTGATAGTACAGAGCTTTAGGAGACACTCTGCACATGCTCAGTTTAGTGTATATTGCTAGAGAGTTTTATTTTCTTTGAGAGGGTGCATGTGATCACCACAGAGCCAATCAGCACTTTCCAGACAGAGGGTCAGGGGTTATGAAGCCTCGTAGGACAGTCAGAACAGGAATAAAACTCCTCCTACAAGCTTTAACCAGTGCTCAGCTGGACACTGATAGAAGTCACAAGACTGCTATATGCTGCTGATGAGAAAAGGTATTTAGCAGTTTATATTTACTATAATAATTGCATTTCCTTGTAGTGTTTACCATGAGAGACCAGACATAGTAAATGCAGGCTCCTGGGTTTAGTAACACTTTAAAGAGTCCTGTCTCTGCCCCTGGACCTCCTGCTGAACTGATGGGGCCCAGGCTCAGTAAAGGATGGCTGGCTCTAACCCCCCAATCAGTGGTCTTGCATGTATATTACAGAGAAAAAGGGCTTTCAAACAGTGCATCCTAAAGATGTTTTCTGACATTTGTATTTCCTTGGGCTAGGACATACACAAACTTGAAGGCTTCAATAGCTTACACATTCTGTCTCTCCTCCTCTCTGCCTTCCTCCAGTTCACTGTCCCTGTTTCCAGTCTTCTGAACCTTGCTCTCTCCTCTGCCATAACTCTTCCAGTGGGCATGGTTATTGGAGCTGCATGGATCCTGACTCCACACTTTCCGCTTTCATGCATGGTTTCTAGAACTACTGGTTAACCAATGGCAGGAAAACCCCAAATATGACTCTATCTAACCTTTTGGCACTGTCCATGTTCAGCTGATTTAGCCCCCTCTGTGCCTTGAATATTTGTATTTACTAAATGCAAATGGGCAGTTTGGAAGGGAAGTTCTCCGGAGCTTAGTGAATGCGGAGAATTTTTACTTTGCAAAAAATACCCAATCATGTGCAAAGAAAAAAAAACAGCATTTTTTTCTTGAACATGATTGGATGATGGAAGTCCTTCAGAGCTCTACTTCATTCATTATGTTCTGGGGAAAATTCCTTTGTAAAGTGCAAATTTTCGTGCAAAGTGAACCATATACTGTATACCTTTAGTAAATTGACCATTCTATGCTTGACCATATCCAGCTGAGCTGCTCACTCTAACATGACCTGAAATGACCTGACTATTCACTTGTCCTGGTCTAGCAATGTAGCATAGCGGCCATCCTATGCAGACCCTAAAACCTGCCATGGAATCTCCTGGGGGCACTTAAGTATAAACACTAGAGATGAGCGAATTATTCAAAAATTCGATTCGGCTGATTCGGCGAATTCGCGGAATAAATTCGATTTGAGTCGAATATATTCGCTGCGAATTTAACATATAAAAAGGGTGTTTCTAGGCTTCAGAGAGCCTTTATATTAGTGCAGAACACTGTACCTTTAATTTAAATGCCCTTGGAGTCTGCTGGGGAAGAGAAATAATACTGTCAGTCAGTATGACATGCAGATGAGTGCCGTCGATCTTAGAATCACCGCACACTTCACTCATTTGGGCAGTCACGGGGCCAAAACCAGAGTGTGGAGCCACAGTGTGGCGGTGGAGGCAGCAGCAATGGGAGGCCATACAGCACCCTACTAAAAAATGGAACCCACCAGCAGTGTGAGGAGACCTGAAAGTGGCACATGGCAGAGTGTGGCGATGGAGACAGCAGCAATGGGAGGCCGTACAGGGACCCATGACACACTCTGGACCTGGCAGCAGCATGAGGAGGCGGTACAGGGGCCCATGACAGATTACGGGCCTGGCAGCAGCATGAGGAGTCGGTACGGGGGCCCATGGCAGATTACGGGCCTGGCAGCAGCAATGGGAGGCCCGTAATCTGCCAGCACCCTATGACAAAATGGAACCCACCAGCAGTGTGAGGAGACCTGAAAGTGGCACATGGCAGAGTGTGGCGATGGAGACAGCAGCAATGGGAGGCCGTACAGGGACCCATGACACACTCTGGACCTGGCAGCAGCATGAGGAGGCGGTACAGGGGCCCATGACAGATTACGGGCCTGGCAGCAGCATGAGCAGTCGGTACGGGGGCCCATGGCAGATTACGGGCCTGGCAGCAGCAATGGGAGGCCCGTAATCTGCCAGCACCCTATGACAAAATGGAACCCACCAGCAGTGTGAGGAGACCTGAAAGTGGCACATGGCAGAGTGTGGCGATGGAGACAGCAGCAATGGGAGGCCGTACAGGGACTCATGACACACTCTGGACCTGGCAGCAGCATGAGGAGGCGGTACAGGGGCCCATGACAGATTACGGGCCTGGCAGCAGCATGAGCAGTCGGTACGGGGGCCCATGGCAGATTACGGGCCTGGCAGCAGCAATGGGAGGCCCGTAATCTGCCAGCACCCTATGACAAAATGGAACCCACCAGCAGTGTGAGGAGACCTGAAAGTGGCACATGGCAGAGTGTGGCGATGGAGACAGCAGCAATGGGAGGCCGTACAGGGACCCATGACACACTCTGGACCTGGCAGCAGCATGAGGAGGCGGTACAGGGGCCCATGACAGATTACGGGCCTGGCAGCAGCATGAGGAGTCGGTACGGGGGCCCATGGCAGATTACGGGCCTGGCAGCAGCAATGGGAGGCCGTACAGGGACCCATGACACACTCAGGACCTGGCAGCAGCATGAGGAGGCGGTAGAGGGGCCCATGACAGATTACGGGCCTGGCAGCAGCATGAGGAGTCGGTACGGGGGCCCATGGCAGATTACGGGCCTGGCAGCAGCAATGGGAGGCCGTACAGGGACCCATGACACACTCTGGACCTGGCAGCAGCATGAGGAGGCGGTACAGGGGCCCATGACAGATTACGGGCCTGGCAGCAGCATGAGGAGTCGGTACGGGGGCCCATGGCAGATTACGGGCCTGGCAGCAGCAATGGGAGGCCCGTAATCTGCCAGCACCCTATGACAAAATGGAACCCCACCAGCAGTGTGAGGAGACCTGAAATTGGCACATGGCAGAGTGTGGCGATGGAGACAGCAGCAATGGGAGGCCGTACAGGGACCCATGACACACTCTGGACCTGGCAGCAGCATGAGGAGGTGGTACAGGGGCCCATGAGAGATTACGGGCCTGGCAGCAGCATGAGGAGTCGGTACGGGGGCCCATGGCAGATTACGGGCCTGGCAGCAGCAATGGGAGGCCGTACAGGGACCCATGACACACTCTGGACCTGGCAGCAGCATGAGGAGGCGGTACAGGGGCCCATGAGAGATTACGGGCCTGGCAGCAGCATGAGGAGTCGGTACGGGGGGCCCATGGCAGATTACGGGCCTGGCAGCAGCAATGGGAGGCCGTACAGGGACCCATGACACACTCTGGACCTGGCAGCAGCATGAGGAGGCGGTACAGGGGCCCATGACAGATTACGGGCCTGGCAGCAGCATGAGGATTCGGTACGGGGGCCCATGGCAGATTACGGGCCTGGCAGCAGCAATGGGAGGCCCGTAATCTGCCAGCACCCTATGACAAAATGGAACCCACCAGCAGTGTGAGGAGACCTGAAAGTGGCACATGGCAGAGTGTGGTGATGGAGACAGCAGCAATGGGAGGCCATACAGGGACCCATGACACACTCTGGACCTGGCAGCAGCATGAGGAGGCGGTACAGGGGCCCGTGACAGATTACGAGCCTGGCAGCAGCATGAGGAGTCGGTACGGGGGCCCATGGCAGATTACGGGCCTGGCAGCAGCAATGGGAGGCCCGTAAATCTGCCAGCACCCTATGACAAAATGGAACCCACCAGCAGTGTGAGGAGACCTGAAAGTGGCACATGGCAGAGTGTGGCGATGGAGACAGCAGCAATGGGAGGCCGTACAGGGACCCATGACACACTCTGGACCTGGCAGCAGCATGAGGAGTCGGTACGGGGGCCCATGGCAGATTACGGGCCTGGCAGCAGCAATGGGAGGCCCGTAATCTGCCAGCACCCTATGACAAAATGGAACCCACCAGCAGTGTGAGGAGACCTGAAAGTGGCACATGGCAGAGTGTGGCGATGGAGACAGCAGCAATGGGAGGCCGTACAGGGACCCATGACACACTCTGGACCTGGCAGCAGCATGAGGAGTCGGTACGGGGGCCCATGGCAGATTACGGGCCTGGCAGCAGCAATGGGAGGCCGTAATCTGCCAGCACCCTATGACAAAATGGAACCCACCAGCAGTGTGAGGAGACCTGAAAGTGGCACATGGCAGAGTGTGGCGATGGAGACAGCAGCAATGGGAGGCCGTACAGGGACCCATGACACACTCTGGACCTGGCAGCAGCATGAGGAGGCGGTACAGGGGCCCATGACAGATTACGGGCCTGGCAGCAGCATGAGGAGTCGGTACGGGGGCCCATGGCAGATTACGGGCCTGGCAGATGACGACGAGGCTGCCAAGTGCGATCAGCCTCATCATCATCAATTAGGGTCTCCGCCTCACTACTAGCCCCCTCGGCTGCGTGTGGGTCAGGAGACAGACCTGTCAATAGACCGGCTACCGAGCCACTCTCCTCGCCAGTACTTCTTCGCCTGGCTGCTGAAGAGGCGAATGTCTCCCCCGTTCCTGACCGCCCTCTGTTAGCTCTTCCTCACTGTACAGTGGGGCTGAGCCCACAGCATGCGATACTTCGCTTGGTGAGGGAACACCAAAGGACAGGGGCAGGTAGAGGACACGTGATTTCAGTGGGCTTGCTCCCAGGCCATGCCAACTAACAGTTGTGTCTGACGTACCCACCGACCGTTGGCTGTAGGTGTCAGAGGTGACCTGGGAAGAGGAAGACGACCGAGCCAACCAATCGATGACGGCAGGGTTGTCGGTGGAGACACGACCGCTGGATGACACCGGGAGCACTGGCCTCTGGCTATGACTAGTGCTGCCTCGACCCCTTCCTCTGCTGCCACGTCTGCTCGCTCCTGAAACATTGCCTCCTCTGCCACTCCTCTGCGTGTTGTCTGACATACTCTTTAATTCAATGATTCTGTGTCACTGAGTAACGATTCTGTGTCCCTGAGTAACGATTCTGTGTCCCTCAGTAACGATTCTGTGTCCCTGAGTAACAATTCTGTGTCCCTGAGTAACAATTCTGTGTCTGTCCCTGAGTAACAATTCTGTGTCCCTGAGTAACAATTCTGTGTCCCTGAGTAACAATTCTGTGTCCCTCAGTAACGATTCTGTGTCCCCTCAGTAACGATTCTGTGTCCCTGAGTAACAATTCTGTGTCCCTGAGTAACAATTCTGTGTCCCTCAGTAACAATTCTGTGTCCCTGAGTAACAATTCTGTGTCTGTCCCTGAGTAACAATTCTGTGTCCCTGAGTAACAATTCTGTGTCCCTGAGTAACGATTCTGTGTCCCTGAGTAACAATTCTGTGTCTGTCCCTGAGTAACAATTCTGTGTCCCTGAGTAACAATTCTGTGTCCCTCAGTAACGATTCTGTGTCCCTCAGTAACGATTCTGTGTCCCTCAGTAACAATTCTGTGTCCCTTTGTAACAATTCTGTGTCCCTGAGTAACAATTCTGTGTCCCTGAGTAACGATTCTGTGTCCCTCAGTAACAATTCTGTGTCCCTGAGTAACAATTCTGTGTCCCTGAGTAACAATTCTGTGTCCCTGAGTAACAATTCTGTGTCCCTGAGTAACAATTCTGTGTCCCTGAGTAACAATTCTGAGTCCCTGAGTAACAATTCTGTGTCCCTGAGTAACAATTCTGTGTCTGTCCCTGAGTAAGAATACTGTGTCCCTGAGTAACAATTCTGTGTCCCTGAGTAACAATTCTGTGTCCCTGAGTAACGATTCTGTGTCCCTCAGTAACAATTCTGTGTCCCTGAGTAACAATTCTGTGTCCCTGAGTAACAATTCTGTGTCTGTCCCTGAGTAACAATTCTGTGTCCCTGAGTAATGATTCTGTGTCCCTAAGTAACGATTCTGTGTCCCTAAGTTACGATTCTGTGGCCCTAAAGTCTCTTTGGCCCTAACTCTGTCCCTAATACACAGAGGTCTGTCTCTCTTGAACGATTCTGTGTCCCTCAGTAACAATTCTGTGTCCCTGAGTAACAATTCTGTGTCCCTGAGTAACAATTCTGTGTCCCTCAGTAACGATTCTGTGTCCCTCAGTAACGATTCTGTGTCCCCTCAGTAACAATTCTGTGTCCCTTTGTAACAATTCTGTGTCCCTGAGTAACGATTCTGTGTCCCTGAGTAACGATTCTGTGTCCCTCAGTAACTATTCTGTGTCCCTGAGTAACAATTCTGTGTCCCTGAGTAACAATTCTGTGTCTGTCCCTGAGTAACAATTCTGTGTCCCTGAGTAACAATTCTGTGTCCCTGAGTAACGATTCTGTGTCCCTCAGTAACAATTCTGTGTCCCTGAGTAACAATTCTGTGTCCCTGAGTAACAATTCTGTGTCTGTCCCTGAGTAAGAATACTGTGTCCCTGAGTAACAATTCTGTGTCCCTGAGTAACAATTCTGTGTCCCTGAGTAACAATTCTGTGTCCCTGAGTAACGATTCTGTGTCCCTCAGTAACAATTCTGTGTCCCTGAGTAACAATTCTGTGTCCCTGAGTAACAATTCTGTGTCTGTCCCTGAGTAACAATTCTGTGTCCCTGAGTAACGATTCTGTGTCCCTAAGTAACGATTCTGTGTCCCTAAGTTACGATTCTGTGGCCCTAAAGTCTCTTTGGCCCTAACTCTGTCCCTAATACACAGAGGTCTGTCTCTCTTGAACGATTCTGTGTCCCTCAGTAACAATTCTGTGTCCCTGAGTAACAATTCTGTGTCTGTCCCTGAGTAACGATTGTGTGTCCCTGAGTAACAATTCTGTGTCCCTGAGTAACAATTCTGTGTCCCTGAGTAACGATTCTGTGTCCCTAAGTAACGATTCTGTGTCCCTAAGTAACGATTCTGTGGCCCTAAAGTCTCTGTGGCCCTAACTCTGTCCCTAATACACAGAGGTCTGTCTCTCTTGAATGACCGGAGGCTAATGGAGAATTCT